CCCAGTCCCAATTCCTTCATGCTTTTTTTTTTAATTTGAATATTTATCTACACTAATTCCCCTCCTTTCTCTTTCACTATCCAATAAATGCTTGGATCAAAATTATAGGTGCTTTGTGAATATGCTGACTTGAGAGTGGAAAGATTTCATATTGTCATGTATGATTCCTGGTAACCCATCTCAAATATGAAAAACTAGGTTGATACCTGTTCACATCAGGAGCTGTTGAATTCAGTTCACCATTTGCAGTATCTCATTAGGATGTTTAGTGGAGAAGATATTGGGTGTTTTTTATTTGTACTGTGGGCAAAGCATGGGCGCACAAGAATTCTTCCATTGTTTTACCATGAGTCTCAAAACATTTGGTGTTTTTCTAAAGGTCTGGAGTCAGTTGATTATGCAGGAATCTCAGCTTTCATTTAAAAAAAGTTCTCTATACTTCTGGGCCTTACAGCTAAGGAGGAAAGCTTTAAAACATGAACCCTAAATACTCAAACAAAAGGCCAATAAAAATCCAACATGTTTTATTTTTAAAAAATCTTATGCTTTGTAAATTTAGAGAGGTCTCTCCCTTCAGTTTCCCTTTCCACCCTCCTTTTTTGTCACAGGTCATCAGAGAATCATAGAGACAATGGAGAGTAGGGTGAGTCCATGACTGGTCAGGGTGACTAACTGTTAACAGCTAGTGGTCTAAATGAGCTATCTACTGCCATCTGTTAATCAACTGTAGGAAAAGGCTTCATGAGCAGACCTTATTTATATAGACAACCTACTTTGCCGCAGAGATCAGTAGACACACTTGTTGTGTCAAGGTGATCAATTTTGGCTCTTTTGGGTCGAAATTCACTTAAGACTTGGAGCTGGGAGAATGAAATGTTGTAATCCATACTGTATGATTAAAAGGTAAAAGACCTGAACTTAATATGACCTGGCTTAGGGTCTACCATAGCTTGAACACTAAGCAGAGGATAGTGAGTCACATCTAACTGAAAGTCACAGAAGATGGAAACAGGTTTTATTTCTTGTGGTGTAGAGTCTATTTGGGAGTCGTCATTTATATCTGACACTTTACATCCAGTGTTTAAAGGCAGAGCTGATTAGAATCAATTGAGTCCTTGTCTTGTATCAGTGATCACTTGAGCAAAAATCATTGATAAAATCTTGTGTAGACTGACCTTGGACTCAACATGCAGGTAATGTGTTGAAGGGCAGTGCAAAGGAGGCAATGGTGATGAGGTACCATGTTACCTAATGAAATAATTGGTGCTGAAATCACTAAGGACTGGAATTTGACCACAGAACTGACACTTTCTTAACAAAGACTCGATTTTTGCTATTTAAAAAGTAAATCAATGTAACAGAAAACTGCAATGTTCTCGGGTAACTTTTTAAAAATCAAACTTTATTGAAAAGATTGGATAGTTTGCAATTGAAAATATTTGACCTACACTTAAGGCAACTGATTTAATTTTGTGTACAATTTTGCATAATAAAGGATGGCTTTTTTTTGAAAATGTTCAACTATACTGATATACATTTTGATCAGATCTACTTCTGATGTGTTATTTGTGTGTGGTTGTGGTTTACTGTGTGTGTGTGGTTTTTTTTTCTCAACAAAAAATCCTGGGTGGGGGACGGGGGACGGTGCGAATTGGGCCCCTCACTTCCTAAAGCTGACCCTGGTCACTACTTAGTAAATGTATGGATTTTCTCTCCTTGTTTTCCGTTCATGTTCCTAGTGTGTACTATGACAAAGTTACTTTTAGAAGTGGGGACTATCTATTTTTCCTAGGTGACCAATACACTTTTGGGTGTCCCAAAGATAATAATTTTGTTGTAACTACAGTAGTTACACTGTAAAACTAAATAGGTAAAAATTTACTTTCCCTTTTGGGCTGAGGTAATTTAATTCTGAGAAGCTAGGATACTGATCTTGCAATCAGCCACCTTGATTTCATGTGAGCAGAGATCCATACCAGCAGTTTTGATTGCTGGATCAGGGGCTACTTTTTTGGACTTTGCATTTCTCTTCTTTTTTTTATGTACACTCACTCACTCACTCACTCACTCAAGTGGATCTTTGGATGTATTATGGATAAATATTCACCAATAGCTTTAATCTATTAAATTAGGCATGTAATGTTCATCAGATGTATTCCTACCTATGGCAGTTTTTATTTCCTGTCCTGAAAAATGCATGGAACTCCGCAGTGCTGCTTGTCCCCCTATCAGAGGCAGCAAGTGCTGAAGGGGGAGGCAGTCAAGGCTGCCACGAAGCAGCTTCTGTCCATAGTGGGCCAAAGCTCCCCAAGAACAGAGGCTACTTTGCCTCTCACAGAGCAGCCTCCATCTGTGGAGGGCCTGGGCCTGCTATGAGTACAGGCTGCTTCGTGACAGCAGCCCCCCCTCTATGTGGGATCCGAGCTCCCCACAGACAGAGTTTGGAAGCAGACTGGCTCCCTCCTGCCACCCCGTACTGCTGCCTCTGATACAGAGATAGCGGCATAGGGGGCTCGCTGGACATAGGACTGGGAGCACACTGGCTGCTGCCCTGCCCTATGAACTATTGAATAGTCATGTAACTGCAAAGTTTTGATGCAGTTATATGACTATTCTATTACCAGATATCTAACATCCCTAATACATGCTTATACTTGGATCAACTGATAGAGCATCCACACATATTTTTATGGGAGCAGAGTTACATGGGGAAATTCAAATATGTTTGTTTGTTTTTATTTCAGTGATATTTATCGAGATAGTGGAAGAGACATTCATGAACCAGTGAAGTGTGAATTAGTGGCATTTCACTAAAATTTTGAGTACCATTAACTTCTGTGGTTGTCAGTGGGAGTCATAGAATTGTGCCTTCAGTTCTGTTTGATTGGTTTATGCATTACATGACATTTCATTGTGTTTTAAGCGACCTGTCATATTGATTCCTGCAGTGCAATAGGGATGTAAAATTCTGATAATCAGTTAACTGGTTAAATGTTAGTTCAACTAATAAGAATGGCTGTACTGGGTCAGACCAAAGGTCCATCTAGCCCAGTATACTTTCTGCCGACAGTGGACGCTACCAGATGCCCCAGAGGGAAGGGACAACAGGTAATCTTCACGTGATCCCTCTGCTGTCACACATTTCCAGACAAAATGCTGGTTAATGGAATAAAGCAGGCCCCGGGCTGGGAAACGTTTTAGACTGGCTGAAGCAGCTCCCCGCAGAAAGTGGCTGCACTGCAGGAGCTACCTCTGTTCACGGAGAGAGCCCCCTGTAAGGCTAGAGCAGCATTCTAGAGCAGTTACCCGTTTAGGCTGATGATAACGGGGTAACCAGTTAACATTTCACATCCCTACTATGCAATGCAAATATGCTTCACTTTGTTCTTTAATATAGCCAAATAACACACAGCACTCTTAAATTCATTATAGACAAAAATTTGGTGTAGACATAATGTATTAAATGAATGGTTATTTAGCATTGCTTCTGAAAACTTCAAATGTTAGTTCAGTCAATAATATCTTACAACAAATAATTTGAATCCATTATCACCAAATTAAGAGCAAAAAAGAACTAAAATGATCACAAAACACTAATAACTTTTTATATGTATGTTAAAAACAGTGAGTAGTCCAGGAGCACCTTAGAGTCTAACAAAAAATAATGTGGCAAGTTCGCTGTCAGGCAGAAGAATATTAATATGGTATACTGGGGTGGGCAATTATTTTTTTGGGGGGGACGACAAGATTTTGGAAAGTGGTCAAGGGCTGTACTTTTCTGTGGAGGAGATGTGGGGTCTAGGGTGGAGGTTGGGTGCAGAAGGGCACATGGAGTAAGGGACTGGGGTGCAGGAGACGGTGTGAGGTCTGAGAGGGAGTTTGGGTGAAGGAGGGGGTTGTGACCTGGGTCAGGGAATCAGGGAGGGAGTATGGGTGCAGGAAAGGATTCTGGTCTGGGGGAGGGGTATAGGGCCGTACAGGATCTGGGAGGGTGTTGTGACTTGGTGTGGAGGGGTTGGATGATGACCTGGGGAGGGGCTTAGGATGTAGGAGGGGCAGGGGTGCCAGAGGCAGGCTCTGTCTGGGAGGCATTTATCTAAGCCAGCAGTCTTGTAGCATCCCCAAGGCAGGCTGGGCTCCCTGCCTCCTGCAGCCCCAGATCACTTTCAACTGCAGACTCATTACCTCCACATGGCTTTCAGCTCCAGGAAGGGAAAGAAGCTTGTGCTGCCCTCAGGCCTATCTCTCAGCTCCTATTGGCTGGTTGTTTCCAGCCAATAAGAGCTGTGAGATTGGCTGAGGTCAATTCCTATTGGCCAGTTGTTTCCAGCCTATAGGAGCTGAGGACTGGGCTGGGGGCGGGGAGCTCACACAAAGCCTCCCCCTGCCAGCAGAGCAGAGAGCTGCACAGACTGCGCTTTAAACCACAGCAGCTGTGTCTGAGGGTCCTGGCGGATGATCCGTGGGCTGTATTTTGCCCAGCCCTGTGGTATTCAGTAGCTCATTTGAAAAAGTGTGTAAATATTTTTATACAGCTAAACTTTTCTTGATGCTTTTGCAGTTTTATATTGACTTGACTGAATGAAACTACAAATTCTAAATTAAGCAGTTAAGCACCAGAGATTTTTTGAATGATAATATTGTGGCTTTATGAATATTTAATTGTATTTAATGAATTATTTATTCCATTTACCACCTACAAAACAATATACTTATGAAAGAGTGGTTTTCTGTAACATTACTTGGGAGAACTGTCATGAAATGTCAAATGCACTAGTTATGGTGGGTAGCTTTAATCACCATGTACATACTATGGCATATACAACAAGGAAGCAGTTAAGTAGCTGTTATTAACCAACAGAATAAATGTACAAATTAATTAATTACACTATAGATGTATTTGCAAGCAGTTGGTAATGTTTTGAAACAAATGTGATTCTACTGCTGTTATACAATATTATATACTAATTTGAAATAACATATTTTTTTCCCCTTTCCAGGTGGAATACAACCTTTCAAAATGCTGCAGATTATCTGGGTGAACCTAGAGATTATGTTTAATGTGCTTGTATTTTTAGAAATGCTTTTCCTGCATTTCATGAGATAAAACTCTTTACAAAAATGAAAACTTGGAGATCAATGAAGTTTTTTTCCATGTCCATGCATGTTAATGAACTCAAAGAAGAACTTTTGAAAAAAGAATAGATTTGTCGTAAACACTGATATACACAATATTATTGGCTCAGGATTCTAGCCACATGTTTTTTTGTTTAAATAGAAAAGGACATATAAGTGAAGATGAGCCTGTGTTTGATACATAGTGTCTGGAGTTAAGTAGACAAGGAATATTTTTAAGAGCTACTTAACAGTAATCTCTATCTGATAATCTCACAAGAAATAAAATGAAGAATCCATGTGAAAAAGTGATGTTGATTCCTTCCTCTGAAGGAGACAATTTCATGATGATTTAAGCCTCTCCAAACATCTGGATGTGGTGCTGAAGGCACATCTGTGTCTTTGATCAGCTGATTGAAACTGTGGAAAGAGGACCTTTAATTTAAAGTAACTCCCAGTTGAAATTCTCTTGCTCATCAGCTTGAACGGAATGAAAGGGAAAATGAACATGACGTATCAGTCAGGGGCCAGTTACTGAACTGAAAAAGGGAAACCTTACACTGTCATTTAAACTATAAAATCCTAGTCCAAACACCCTAGTCAAATATTTTTTTAAAATTTGACTACTTGGAAGATCTCTACAGATTTAAAGAAAGTCAGATGTCAGCAAACGATTCCTCTCCTCCATCCTTACAGAAGCTTTCTCCTCCTGTATCTCATGCTGCTGCGCCACCAACCCCTTCTCTGTCTTCAAGTCCCCAGTCGGGGCTCTCCAGCCGGCTGTCCAATGGCAGCCTCAGTACACAGAGTCTCACCAACTCCAGGGGCTCTATGCATGGGGTGTCTTTCCTGCTGCAGATTGGTCTCACGCGGGAAACTGTCACCATTGAAACTCAGGACCTGTCCCTCTCATCCGTCAAAGATCTAATCTGTTCCATAGTTTACCAGAAGGTACAGTATAACAACATACAGTACTGTTGTTTTATTATAATGGTTTTAATGTTACTATAATTGCTATCACTTTGTGTTAACTGGATATATCAAATGGTTATGTACTGAGACAAGACCCGTGTTGGAACTATATTAAGGTTGATTCCATGTAGTTCTAAAAGATGCACCTCCCAAGATGGGAGTTTAAATTAAAAGGAAGAGGGGTCTTGTTAGGTCTGATTTCTGAAATCCTACAACAATAGAAATTTGGACTCTTTATACATAACTGGCTTTGATAATATGGAAAGAATGTTATTTTCCCCTCTTGTGGTTGTAGTCACCCTCTTAGTGTTCTTCTGTGGTCATTGCTGCTATGTATTTGAGTTGAAGAAAACATTATTCAGCAGTATTCATGGTATAATGCAGCAATTCTGAAATAGTAGCCCTTGGACCAATGGTGGTTCAGAGAACAATTGCAGGTGGTCTGTTGGTTGGGTCGTATGGTATTGGCTGTGTTCCTTGTTTACAACTGCAAAATTTCATTAAAAGGCAACTAATACTTTCCTAACGTTTTTTTACAGTATAAGTAATTGTTATGATTGTCAT